ATACTAATTGACAGTTGGAAAACGAAAAATAGTGAGTAGGAATAAAAAAAGTTAAAAAACAAAATAAAACAAAAAAAAACGACTAGAAAGAAAAAAAAAAACTCGAAAACTTACGACAAAATAAAAAGCGTCTTATCTATTCAAAACCTTTGATGCGAACTGAAATAAATTTAGTCAATATCATCTTCACGCTCAAATGTATAAAATTCCATCTTTTCTTAAGTAAGTATTTATTTTTTTTAAACTATTTTTGCTCTGGTGATATTATATTATCACTTGATATAATATATTATATCAAGTGATATTATATCGTGAAAACTTTAAAACTAAGGAATGAAGTTGACGAAGAAATAAAAGCCGACAAAATATATTAATATATATAGTATCAATAATAATATATAGTATCAATAATAATATATAAATGACAGCAAAAGTCATTTTTTAGATTTTGAGATCACAAAAAACAATTTTTTTTCAAAGTAAACTTGCTACAGTCCAAAAAAAGTAGGTTCTGTTACCAGAATATATAACATAATATCACTTGATATAATATATTATATCAAGTGATATTATATCGTGAAAACTTTAAAACTAAGGAATGAAGTTGACGAAGAAATAAAAGCCGATAAAAATTTTTTTCAAAAAATTATCAAAGAAGCTAGAATAAAATATTTCTCGAAACAGTCTAATAAATTTAAATTAGAAAAAAACAATGACCATTTTAAACGAAGTATTTGATAGAGAAAAAAATTATCATCTAGCATACCACGAAAAATATTTTCTAAATGTTTTAACTTATAGCAGAAAAACTCTCTATAAACTGTGAATTAACCAATTACATATAATTTGATAAAACCAGTAAATGAGTAATATTTCAGTATTATTATATAATGACCAACTCTGGAATTTTTAATTCCAGAGTTGGTCATGAATCACATAGGAGTAACTCTGACATAGGACCAACTCTGGAACACATAGGGCACAAAGGACCAACTCTGAAATTAAAAATTCCAGAGTTGGTCATGACTCACATAGCCTAATAATAAAGCGGGAAAAGTTTAATAATTTTTTAGTTTTCAAATACGTGTTTTATATAAACCTCGCTCATTAATTAATAATAGTTCACAAAAACTTTGGGCAAAAGCGGCTTTTCGTTGAGATAACTGCGGCTTGCGTTTAAAATTGCTTTTAAAAAATCAGTGTTTTTTTAATAAGTCGAAACTCTTATTTTTAAATTTTCGAAATACATACTAATATTTTGTAATACGGATTTTTGTGTATATATATATTTTTTTCTAAATATTGTTTTCTAGAATAATGGTTTCAAACTTTAGTTTGAAGATTTTAAAAGTTTTAAACATGCATTTTCATTCTTTGTGAATCCATTTATTTCTGATATAATATTGAAGACGAATTTCCGTTTTCTGAAGTAATACTGGTGGAAAAAGCGGTTGGGGAATTAGAACTAATACAAATAAAATAAGATCAGACAATGCAATTGCATCATAAAACAACGTCAATAGTTAAATTTCGAAGACTTGCGACGGTATCAAAATATCAAAACTTAAAAAAAGCTGCTTGGCATTTTGGTTAAACATGTTGTTGTGAATCGTTATACTCCATATTAAAACTTCCAAAGTTAAAATACCGTTCATAGCTGACCAATCAACAACCTCAACCAATTATGCAATTTTAGAGATTTGAACAAATGGTTTTGTTAATTGTTTTACATTTTTATTATTGAAATAATTATTTTTATGTTTTTCTCATATTTTCTGTTATATGAAAAAGTTATTATATTGGTTCAATAAAATTTTAATTTTGTGTTTGTGTAATTAAATTACACAAACACAAAATTAATTAAATAATGAAATAAAAATAAAATTTGAATAGTGTGATTCTTTATAATGGTGAAAAACTAACAAACAGCGCTCATTGACCTTACGCGTGCCCACTCACTGGAATAATTTATAATCATCTCTTATATTCTAACAAAGCATAGACTGGTACACACAAAACAAATTTATTTACACTACAAAGTTTGCAAAACATTTAAACTAATACTTTATCTAAGCAGAATTGATAGTTTTACTTGTGAGATGAAAAATATGAAGGTTTTAAACTTGAAAAAATTAAATCTGTTTTAGATTTTTATTTTTATGTTTAAACATAAAAATGCTCTTAAATTCTTTACTAGAAACATTTTCGTCAACTTTTTTGCAAAGTTATGATTTTATCTATTTACCTAATAAGACTAAAAAGCGGTATTCAATTAGTTTTCAATTACATTGCAAGGCCCCAAGAAATATAAAAAACTTAAGATAGGGCCAACAACATGAGGGGGGGCGGAGGTATATTTTCTAAAGGACCTTTTTTTTTTGATAAAATTTTAGATATACAAGACTTTTTTTAAAAATTTACGATTGTACCCCCTTTTCCCCACTTCCAAACCCGTGTCATCGGCCTTGTAAAAGTTTAAAGTTTAAATGGACAACCATCATTTAAGTTGCAAACAACACTGTATATTTTTAGTTAAAAATTCTTTGTAATAATAATAATATTAAAAAAAATTGTACACTGAAATCTACTGTATTAGAAATCATATTGGGGAATCTATGAAAAGATTTTTTTTCGAAGTTTTACCAAAAAATGCTCTTTTTTGTTTACAAATAATTTGTTATTAACATCCACCAACGCGACACTAACCATACCTGTAATCTGTAATGGGCAAACTTTCGCAAAATGCTCAATTGGCCCTACGATACTAGCTGATTGAACAGTTATAAAATATAAAAAGTAATATTTATTTAGTATTAAAGAGCAAATTACCTCGCATCCAATTTTTAAGGAAACTCTTTTTTTTTCTTTATAAATATTTTCAGAATGTAACAAATAGGCAGCGAGGTAAAAGATTACTACATCTGTCCAACAACATCTGTGGAGTAGTACAAGATGATCTGTATACTTTTGTCCAAGATCATCTATATTTTTCTTTTACTCTAATAACATCTGTCCAATATCATCTGAAAATTCAACAATCCCTAACAAATTTTTTAGAAAGATGTAACTACATCTGATAATTTTTCTCCAAGTTCAATAACCTTTGGACGAATTTTCTCCAGATGTAGCTACATCTGAAAAAATTTCTTTATGTAACTACATCTGGTTAAAATAATGCACTATTAGTTAATATTTTTTTCAAGATATAGTTTCCTCTGAAAAAATTTCTATATGCAATAACATCTGGTTTAAATAATGCATTATTAGTTAATTCATCTTAAAAATAACTTCATCTTAAAATCTACAGATGTAGTTGCACAGATGTTATTACACTTTGATAATTTAAAAGATGTAACTACATCTGTAATATTCATTTAATTTTTCACAGATGTTCTTAGACACCAATGAAATTTCAGATGTTGTTGGACAGATGTTATTATACCTCATTAAATTTATAGATGTTGTTGGACAGATGTTATTAGACATGGCAAATACTGAAATGTTTTTAACCTGTTTTTACTGTGACCCAACAGCCAAATGACAGCAAAAGTCATTTTTTAGATTTTGAGATCACAAAAAACAATTTTTTTTCAAAGTAAACTTGCTACAGTCCAAAAAAAGTAGGTTCTGTTACCAGAATATATAACGTTCTGATACAGGGCCAGCCCGCGTGTCCCCCCATTTTTTTGGAGGAACTTTTTTTGTTATGTTGGATTTTAACAACTTTACTATAAAAGATATAGTTTTTTTGCGATTATCTCAAAATGTAAAAAAAAATATTGTACAAAACTAAATATTAAGTTACAGCTTTCAATTCAAAAAAAAACTTTTTATTCGCGGTTCATTCTTTCAAACAAATCTCAAAAAAAAAATTGTTAAAAAATATTTATCTTAAAAAAATTTTTTAAATTATAAATTTAAATTTGAAAACGTGTCAAATAATACATTTGGTAAAGCAAAAATTGTTATACAATACCGAAAGAGTATGTAGGGAAAACTTTTAAGGAATTAAAATTTTACTAAAGAAATTAAAAAAAAAATTTGTGTTCAATTTTAATATCATTTAACTCTGTTTAAATACTTAAATGACTTTTGAATGGAGCTTCCTCCTATTAAAATAATATCAACATCAGTTTTTATGACAGTTTTAGGAGTTAAAACTCTGTTTTCCTTTTCAATCTAGTCTGTTTTTCTTTGATAATTTTGCATGACTGCAAATATGGGGCTGTCTATTAATTACGTCAACAATTTTTTAGAAACTTTTACTTCCCACCCCCCTTGTCATTAATTTGTCAAATTTCCTGAGATCCCCCCCCCCCTATAAAATTATGTCAATTTTTGATTACTCCCCCCCCCCCCCCTCTCCTATACAAAGAAGCTACGCAACAAACTCAGCCTAATTTTCCGTTGTTTAATTAATGAAACTCAAAAAAAAAAAAAAAAAGAAAGAAATTGTTGACATCAACTTTAATTGACCTCCCCCTCCCCTTCTTCGACAATTGTCAAAAAAGTTGACAAAAACCCCTATTCAGTATTATAACAAAGATTAAAATTTATAATGCAACATGTATTATTTTATTGTTATATCTATAAAATGGCTTCAACTATGGAGCCTGTAATAAGTACTTTCCTAACAACAACCTGCAACAAGTTGAAAATTATTTATTATATGATTTATTTTTATAAAAATACATAAAAGTTTCAATGATCAGACGCTAATTAAAAACTTTAAATTTTTAGAAAAGTAAAACAAGAAATAGATATAAATTATAAAAAGATATAAAAAGTAAAATAAGAAATATAAATTTTAGAATGAACCCTCTACTTAGATGTAAATTGCTGAAAAATTTAATCAAATTAACTAAAAAAATATATTTATTTTGATAAAGAGTGTACTATAAACCATAAATAATTTTACTACAATTATATATATTACATACATAAAATAAGGAAAATATTAACTTGTTATTACTTTAATATAAAATTAAAAAAGTACTTACATCATAGTTGTCAGACGGTAAGTTGTTTTCATATTTTTCCTCAACAAGTGTACGAAGATCAGAAACAATACTTTGTCTTGAAATATTCTTCTCATCGTCTTTTTCGTTAAGTTTAAAAAATGAATGTTCGAGAATAGACGAATCGACTGATGTTTTCCTAAAGGAACCTGGTATTGTGTTGTTTGTAGATGGCAAAGATTTGGCAATTGGCGATGAAGGATCAAGCAAATCTTCTTCGTCGCCTAATTCTTCCAAATATTGAAGCAATGAAGAAGACATTACAAACTTATCAAAGTCAAATTTAAATTCATGAAAAGAAAATCAAGTAAAAATTGAGTAAAATTTTTTAAACTTTTGTTTTACTATGCTGGCGCATTCAATTAACATGCCGTGAAACATGCCGTGTCTTATTTTGACTATCAAATATAATATTAGCAATTCAACAAATTATTTATGTGTTTGCAAAAATAATTTAATAATTTTTTAAAAATATTCTGTTGATTAAATATTTAAAGTGTTATTAGTTTTATAATATACTGTTTTGTTGATAATAAATTTTACAGATAAATATTTTACATCAATCCACATATTAAAACTCATATTTTAAAATTTTATTCACATATTTGTGTTTAATTTAGCTTTAATATCATTTTTATTATGATTTTGAAAGTTTTATTTTATTTTCTGTTTTTAAACAATAAATAAACTAAATTAAAAAAAAATAAAAAAAACGTTTTGAGTTTAAAATGTCTTTAAAACTAAAATTAAAAACAATTTACATGAACAATAGCAAGAAGAATTTGTTAACTATTTTAATTAACTTGTCTAGTTACTTTTAGAAAACGAAATTTAATAATACAATAGAGTTTAAATGTATCTTACTATTTATTAATAAAAGACAGTTTAAATGTATTTAGCATTTAAACTCTATTTTATTATTAAATAATAACATTTAAATCTCAGCATTTAAATTTTACTATTTAATAAGTGAAAAAAACAAACAAACAAATATTCTTTTATTAAAATTTTTTATCGATGAATGATCAATAAATAAGTGATGTCCTTATAAACATCTTTTTGCAAATATCTCATAAAAAAAGTAACTTGTTCAATCGTTTTTAATTGTTGCTCTTATATAAAAGTTGTCCTCTAAAGACTTTGTTGTTGTTGTTTTTGTTTTTTTAAACAAAATTTTAAAACAAATGATTTTGAGCATTTACCCAGTGGGCACAGAACCAAAAAAAGACGTCTTTTGAACGTTCAAAAGACGTCCAAAACGCTCAAAAGACGTTCAAAAGACGTCTAAAACGTGTATAAGACGTTTAAAAGACGTCTTTTTTACGTCCGTGTCCACTGGGTATAAGTGACTCTAAAGAAAATAATCACTCAGTCTCGCCCGACGGTAAGGTTTTACTAGTTGTAAATTATTGTAATGGTTTTTCTATGTATTTATTTTAATAATGTTTTTTTCAAATTTTTAACATAATAACTTTTTAAGAAAATCTAAAGCGTATTTGCACTTTTTGTCTACAATTTATGAGTTTTGTTGAAGTTTTAAATGGCAAAGCTTAAGTTAGCCCTTGATTCGTTTCAGGATTAAAAACTAAGCCATTAAAAAATAAATAGACGCTTCATTAGTGAATAATGATAAATACTAGTTAAACCTTTAATAAAAATAGCGTCATTCTGAATCCAAATTAGTTATAACAGCACCCAACCTATAGCCGTTTTTATTGGATTTTTGTTAATAGTCCGGACTATTCTGAGTAAGGGAGACCGGGGCTATTTGCAACAAAATATATAATATTGCATTTATCATCTATAACTTTGAATTTTTTATCAGGGTTATAAAATAGGTCTTGTTGACGTATTAAACCAACATTGATAAATATAATATATTACTTAGTTGTTCCGCAATAGTGGAAAAAAAAAATTGTTGCAATTTACCCCACACCGGGGCAAGTTTCAACTGTAAACAGAGTAAGTTGTAACACTTGCAATAGAAGTTGAAGAAATAAAAGTTAGTTTAAATTTTCATAAGGAACTCATTGAAAACAAGTTTTAAAAACCACGTTAAATATTTTCGTGAAAAATAAATCTGATCTTAACTAAATTCAAAATAACAACCCAGCCGGCAAATAACGTTGAAATAAGGTTGAAATATCGTTGAAACCTAACGTTGAATTTACGTTGATTTAATGTTTAGAATGAAAGTTTTTTTCCAACGTTGATTTATAAACGTTAAATCAACGTTAGGTTCAAACGTTATATGAACGTTGATTCGACGCGAAAAAACGTTACAATAACGTTGAATTTACGTTTATACAACGTTTAAAATGATGGTTTTTTTAACTTTGATTTATCAACATTAAGTCAACGTTAGGTTCAAACATTATATCAACGTTGATTCGACGCAAAAAAAAACGTTACTATAACGTTGAATTTACGTTGATACAACGTTTAAAATTATAGTTTTTTTAACGTTAATTTATCAACGTTAAAACGACTGTAAAACACTTTTTCACCATCAAAACGTTCTATGTATGTCAAAATGCATAAATGTATGTAAACGTGCTATGTGCGTCAAAATGTGATCACCATCAAAACGTACTATGCATGCACATTAGTGTTGATGTACATTATCAAGGTATATTATGGATATTAAATCTATTCATAGTCTATACTTAGACTATTTAGAACTTTTTCAGTTTAGTTTAATTAAAATAGCTAGGTATGATTAAAGAAAGAGATAAAACTTGTTTTATTGAAAAATATATTTAAATATTACATATATTTACATATAATTGAATAAAATCTACACAAATTTCTTCTCTTTTCCATCACCTTTTTGAAATAGAGCGTAACTTAAAAAATCAAACAACGTTCCATTAACCGAGGTTTCTTTTGGTCCATTGAATACAATAGAAGAAGCTGTAAATAAAAAAAAATATATAAAAAAATCAAAAAGGGAAGATTTAAACAATATATAACAAACGGAAAAGTGTTACAACTTATGAAGGTATATCTTTTTCAACGCCATATAGATTAGTGTTCTTAAAACATATTTTTCCACCTTTGCCCTTCATATCCGTGGAAGCCATATAACTATAGAGGCCATATAGTTGGTTATTAATAACTTTTTCAAATATTTAATTTAAATAAAACAACCTTTTTTCAAATTAAATTAATAATCAAAATATAAAACATTTCTAGCATTTCAGGATAATAGAGGATTTTAGAAGTGGTTTTTTAAAAAAGAGGACTTTAGAGGATTTTAGAGGAGCTGCGAACACCCTGATTATAAATGAGGTAAGAGTCCAATTTTTGTTTTTAATTACCTCAGCATAATTTTGTGTATTCTATCTTTAGCAGACGTTCCACCAATTAACTGTAATTGATTTATCTGTAAAAAACATAAACTCTAATATTATGCTTGTGGCGATATATTATAATGTGGAGAACCATCCAAACCACACAAGTGGAAAATTTGCATCCAAGTTTCCACTTGTGTGCAAATCTTGCGTCCACTTGTCAACATTCTCATTATCACATTTTTTTTTTGTAGTTGTGAATTTAAAATTTTCACAGTACTGTTTGCTTTCTTTTGGAATTGAAATAGCTATACAAATAGTTATATATTTTGTATCAACAAAATAACTCTAAACCACATTATTTAAAAAATAATAATTGAAATATATAGATGTAATACCTGAAGAGAATTTAGTTTTTATTTGTTTATATTTATAACACGGCTGTTTCACTCAATATAAAAACGAGCGTGACGTCATGAGTTTATCAAAAAAAAAAAAGTATTTCCGCATAAAAAGTATAAAAATTCACAAACTTTAAATTAATAGTAACTTTTTTATATAAATGCTTTCATCTTGCAGTTAAAAAAATATAAAAGATCTATCTTTCCTTGTTAAATAAATATTTACATTAATTGGTATAAAAATAAATATTGTCAAAATATTTTTAATAATTTAGAACCACTTTTCTAATTTTCGCATATTTTCCGGAAAACATTGTTGGGCCAACTAAGATTTCATAACATAGCTCAGTGCTTGATAGTTGAAATTTGGAACACTTAACCCTAAATGTCCATTCTATCAGATTCCTGCGTCATCCTAGAGATTTTTTTTACAAAAAGACTGTTTTTAAAGAATTTATATTTTTTAGTTGATCGTTTTTATATGCAAAACGTAACTTTTTTGATGGATGACGTAAGTTAATGAAATTTCAACCTTTTATGCGAATGAAAATAAAAAAATTATTTTTCGTGCCTTCAGCTATGTAATGAAATATGTTTTCAAAAATGTCATGTTTTACAACTAATCTTGTTAGTTTTAGGCGTACATTTATGTTGACGTTTTTTTTCGATGACGTAAGTTTTTTTTTGTTGACGTTTTTTTTCGATGACATATAGTTTGGGACGTAACGCATAAGCGTTACGTCCCAAACTATATTTTAACGTTATTTTAAGCGTTACGTCCCAAACTATATTTTAACGAATATTCTCCAAACAACTGTTTCGGCAAGTCAATTTTTGAAGTATAAACTATATTTTAAGCGTTACGTCCCAAACTATATTTTAACGAATATTCTCCAAACAACTGTTTTTGAAGTTTAAACTATATTTTAAGCGTTACGTCCCAAACTATATTTTAACGAATATTCTCCAAACAACTGTTTCGGCAAGTCAATTTTTGAAGTATAAAGTAAACAAAGTTACGCGGAATTTTCTCTTTGGATTATCAAACTAATATCAGATAAGTTGTTAAATCCACTTTTATCTAGTGCATATATTTGTTTATTAATATTATTTTATTTGTTTTTATTATATTGATTAATAAGTCAATATTATTTTGATAACTATGTATTCAACTGAGAGGGAAATTCTAAAACAACATATTGGATGGAAAAATGGTTGGGAAGATAGGTGTAACTTTCCTTTTGTTAAGCGATTAATTAGGACAGATAGATCAGTAACAATGCCATTTCCATTTTAGTGACAGTCTTTAAAATAAGAAGTGATTTATTTAGTTTTATGAGTTTTCTTTTGTCAATTGATTTTGATATGCCTAGTAATGACGAGTTTGATAAAATGTGCCTAAAGTTAACACACCAAAAAAAGAAATATAAAAAAATTTTAAAGCTATAAAAAACGAAGAATTTTTTAAAATGCAACTGTCGCAAGCTCCACAAAAAAAAAAAAAAAAAAAAAAAAAAAATCAGCAGATGCAGATGACTTTTTCACTTTAAATAACAGTCAGGAGCTACTGAATCAAATTGATCAATTAACTTCTAAAAATAAAACAAATATGGAGCAAATAGAAAAA